TGCAGATATCTGAGGCTTCCGTTAGCAGAAACCGCAGTACAATCATTGTCCCTGCAGGAAGTGCCCGGGATGAAGGATGGGCTGCATTTAGGAATATTCTGGCAGAAATAAATGAAGCATCGAGGCTTTTTGTTCTGCCCAATCAGGTACCTTTTCATCCATTAATATTTGGTTTTTCTAGCTCTACTTACTCTGGAGGTGTCTCAAAAACCAAACCTTCTTTTTGTGTGTGTACATCAGCAAAACTCCGAACCCTCAGAACACCTTGTCGGACTTTCAGATGACGTGGGGGCTGGGTTTATATCCAGTCACAGTTCTCTACCTTCCCCAGCAACTGATTTGAATGTGGAGCGGTCTGCCGATTTGCCACCGGCAGAAGAAATTAATAACATGGGAGTCTCCAAAATGATACGAGCTGATCAAAAGAGATTCTTCTTCGATCTTGGGAGTAACAACAGAGGCCATTTCTTGAGAATATCAGAGGTATTGCTCAATGCTCTGCATTGATAGGCTATCTGGTATTGGTTAGCATAATTTTGCCATATTTTAGGACATTTTTTTGCATATTTGTGTGTTTATAAAATGTCTCTGAGTTGCAGGTCGCAGGTTCAGATCGGTCCTCCATCATCCTCCCACTTTCAGGACTGAAGCAGTTTTATGAAATGCTGGGTCATTTTGTGGAGATCACAAAAGATCGAATTGAAGGTATGACTAGCGCAAATGTTCGGACAGTGGACCCCACTCAGAGATGAATCTGGATGACACGTTGGTTAGGCAATAAACACAGCCATTGGGTCCGAAATAAATTATTGGAAAACTATAACGCGATATGTCGTGCAGTTGATTGGGGTGCAGTTGCGAGCTTGATGTGTCAGTGTTTGCCTTATTTGTGTTTCGACTAAGTCTTAATAAGTTTGATATCTCTTTCAATTCAAGTAATCGTTTACTGTTAGCAAGCTCGATTTTTATATATGAATAACACATAAATAAACCAAAGTGCAATGTATTCAAGTGAACATTTGGATTTCCTCTTGTGCATTCCATGTGTGCTTTCTGCTGTTATATATACTGCCAGAAAATTGTCCAACTGTTCTTTTGGGCTATCTGTTATGTGGAGTGGATGCTGAACTTCAATTAATGAAGTAGCTGTTGATGGCTTCGATGAATATATTTCTGAAATTTACAAATTTTCTACATTTTTATGCTCTATTTGCACGTTGGAGATGTAGAAATCATAACCGTCTTTGAAGAAAATTTCTAGAGAAATTGGGGTTTTCACCAGCCTGCTTGTTCCACCTTCCCTGACAGACATTATGGAAAATTTTGGACAATCTGGAGAATTCTACCACCGCCAATTGAGGGAATAATCCAGAACTTGGCAGAACCAGAGAGAGAGAGAGAGAGAGAGAGAGAGAGAGGGGGGGGGGGGGGGGGGGGGG